GGCACAAGGGGTAGTGTCCCCAGGTACCAACTGGCTGGGCCCCAGAAGCTCCTGAGAGTGAGTAGCCCTGAGCTACTTGCCAGGGCAGCTTTTTGTACTGCTGGGGCCAGGACAGGTTCTGGCTCTGGACTCTAGCTCCCCCTGGCTGCAGATCTGGGAGGAGCTTGGCAGGGTTATTTTGCCCCAAGTGGCACAATTTGCTCCACACCAAAGTGCATGTCCGAGCACATGCGCCGAGGCAAAAAGCCGTGGCTCAAATTTGCTCCACTTCTATTTGAGCTGTTGCAAGCACATGAGCTTGCATGTGTGGACATGCCCTAGGAATCAAAGTTGCAGTGGATCTACCGCTTGAGTTAAGGACAATTGCCAGTAAATCATGGACTCTCTTGTTATTGACCTGGGGACTTGCAAAAAGGATAAAACCTATGATTTCTATGAAATATATCTATTATTGATATATGAATTTTAGCTGGCTCCCTGAATCTCCGATTTAGTTAGTTTATAATGTGCAAATCTACCCAGGGGGCACAGACACTCAACCCGGTGATCAGTGGGAACAGAGTTTGAGCAAGAAAGAATCAATTATGGGACAGAAACTTCTAAGTTAGCATAAGACAGAATCCATTCTGACATTATGAATCAAATTTGACTTGAACTTAAAACATTACTGGGTTCACTTCCTACTTAGAAGAGAATGAATGAGTAAGAGTTCTCAATTCTTTCCCCCTTTGCTAACATCCAGCCCTTACTTCCTCTTAACCACAGCGGTCTTTAGTCAGTCCATGTCTCTGAACAAACTCCTGCTGTTTTCCCTACTGGATTTTAAGATTACAAACCCTTCAGGGAGGGGCTCTCTCTTTCTGTGGTTTTACTGAACTAGATGACATGTCCCTAATCCCAAATAGGGCCTGTGGGAATTACCACAATGCAGATATTTAACAAACAATAAATGTCTATTCTCAGCTTTGGCAATAACATCATGGGCCTGTTCTATCACTCTGAATTGGTT